ATACATAACTACAAGTTACTTTAATTTTCACGTGTTCACTGGTAGTGGTTTTTAAGTGGTAGCCACTTAGAAAACAGGCTATTTGCACTAGTACAATACTGTTCATAAAGTTGTGCTTACAGTTATAAGCTCCTTGCTGAATGACTGAAGCTCAGAACACAGCTGCTACTTCCTAAACTGCACACTTATGATTTGAAATTGTAAAATAGTGGTTCATTAATACCAAACAAGATACTACCACATTAAACTAAGCACTATAATTAGGTGGTTTTGTCTCTCAATGCTGAGGAGAGTTGTACTAATGTCAGCAGCCAAGAACAGCAATAATTCTCAGCCACATGCATATTAGCATGTCTCTCCCAGAAGCACCATTTGGTCTGACATTCTAGTCTGCTCAAAAAGATGTCCAAGAAGTTTAGAACGATGAGATCATTTTGGTTTATCAAGTAAAAAGCTTTGCATTTTTGCCTGGTCTAAAGGACCAATGAACATTTAAATATAACATCTCTCAAAACCCACCGGAATTAATAATAATAAAAAAGCAATGCCATTGGGCTTCATTTCAGCAAAGAACTTAAAGCACTCATTGAAGTCAAAGCATGTGAAAGTTAAATACATACTTAAGTACTTTGCTAGATCAGGGCCTATGCCAATGGAAAGCTGGGATTTTAAGTTTTAAGCCCTGAATGTTCATTGGAAATGTAAAGGGATGTTAATATTTGTACCTCAGCTGTAATTTCAATTAAAGTCTAAAAGACCATTTGAGTCCCATTTGCTGCTGACATCATGAATATTTGCTGTTTCCATATTCAAGAGGAAGATGTTTGACTTAGGCCTGGTCTACACTAACCCCCCAAGTCGAACTAAGGTACGCAACTTCAGCTACGTGAATAACGTAGCTGAAGTCGACATACCTTAGTTTGAACTTACCGCGGTTCAGACGCGGTCCACACGCGGCAGGCAGGCTCCCTGTCGACTCCGCGATACTCCTCTCGCCGAGCTGGAGTACCGCAGTCAACAGCGAGCACTTCCTGGTTCGACTTATCGCGTCCAGACCAGATGCGATAAGTCGAACCCAGAACTTCGATCCCCAGCCCCCGAACTAGCGGCTGGGTGTAGACCAGCCCTTACTCAGATATTATAGTATGATATTTTCTCTACTTAGTCTGATCTGCTTGTGAAATCATCAGCAGTATGAGTCTGAAATGGCCTATTAGACTTAGCAAGATAGGGTGACCAGATGTCCCGATTTTATAGGGACAGTCTCAATTTTTGGGTCTTTTTCTTATATAGGCTCCTGTTACCCTCCATCCCGTCCCGATTTTTCATACTTGCTGTCTGGTCACCCTATAGCTAGAAGATGGAGCCAGCTGGTTTTTCTTTACCTTTTGTATGACTAACTGAATTTTCAGATCTTTAATATACTAAAACAAATGTATTAGCTAGTTGACACTCATGCTTTTTTATCATCTATAGGTAGGGCCTTACCAAATTCATGGCCATGAAAAAATGCATCAGGGACCGTGAAATGTGGTCTTTTGTGTGCTTTTACCATACAGTTTTCATGGGCGAGACCAGCGTTTCTCAAATTGGGGGTCCTGACCCAAAAGGGAGCTGCGGGAGTGGGGGCCCTCACAAGATTATTTTAGGGGGGTCGCGGTATTACCATCCTTACTTCTGCGCTGCCTTCAGAGTTGGGCAGCCAGAGAGTGGTGGCCACTGACTGAGGCAGCGCAGATGTAAGGGTAGCAATACCATACCAGGCCACCCTTACTTCTATGCTGCTGCCAGCAGCCCCAGCTCTCCAGCTGCCCAGCTCTGAAGTCAGCGCTGCCACCAGCACCAGCGCAGAAGTAGGGGTAGCAGTACCCGCAACCCCCCTACAATAATCTTGCAATGCCCTGCACAACTCCTTTTTGGGTCAGGACCTCTAAAATTACAACATGAAATTTCAGATTTAAAAATAGCTGAAATAATGAAATTTACAATTTTTAAAATCCTATGATTGTGAAATTGACCAACGTGGCCTGTGGATTTGTCAGGGCCTTATCTGTAGGCAGGTGTCTATACTGCAATTAAACACCAGTGGCTGGTCTGTGTCAACAGACTCGAGCTGGGGCTGCAGGGTTGTTAAATGGCAGTGTAGACGTTTGGGCTTGGACTGGAGCTCAGGCCCTGAGACTCTTCTCCCACCCCCCGGCAGGGTCTCGGAACTCCCTCCGCTCCAGCAAAGCCCGAACATCTACACTGCAGTTTTAAAGCCAAATAGCCCAAGCCACAAGAGCCCAAGTCAGCCGACACGGGCCAGCCACAGGGGTTTAATTGCAGGGTAGATATACCCTTAGGTACTCAAATGGCACCCATTACCATAGCATCTGATTGCCTCACAATCTTTAAAGCATTTGTCCTCATAACACTCCTGGCCTGTACTATCATTTCAATTTTGCAGAATGAGGAACTGAGACAGAGACAGACTAAGCACAACCTCATTCAAGAAGCTTGCAGAAGAGCAGGGAATTGAACCCAGGTCCAAGGCTAGCATTCTGAATCATTCTTTCCATGTTTAAGAGCCGCTGTTTCATGTACTTGCCAGGCCAAAGAAATATTTTGGCAGTTTGTTAACTCTTCAAAGGCATTGGTACTGGAGCTATGATCAGAAAGAAAGTAGGTTCCTGTATCCTACCCATATCTGCACCACTCAGCTGCACCCAGAAGCTAGAACCTCCAAAGCACTACCATCCACTTGAATCTAACAGTACAGTACCCAGTGCCACCACTTCTGATATGCCTGCCCTGAGGGTGGAGAGAGGGGTTTGTCAGGGGTGAAAGAAAAGAGGAGTTGTCTGCCCACATTAAAGAGGAGGCATGCCTGCGGTAGCCTGTGGTCTGTAATTCGGCCAACCCACTTAAGAAAATTGCATGAGATCACCACCATATCCCAGCTCTTGCTTAGACTTTCAGTCAAGCTGATCACTTTGTTCAGGAGGAAATAATTAAAATGCATATGAGTGTTTTTTTATTTTATTTAATTTTTAACTCCACTGGTTATTGTACAGAAGATGGAGCCAACAGAACAAACCATCCTAAACTTGTACAATTCATTAATGAATGTTTAGAAAACCCTTCAAGATCCTTGGAGGAAAGGGGCTATACAAGTGCAAAGCATTATCGTCATCATGAAACAGACTGCTCAAGAGGACTAAGAAAATGATGAAAAAAAAAAAAAACCAATTTCATATTCAGCCAAGAAATATTTTAATGTTACCTATGAACCTTTAAAGTTTACACAATGTAGCAACCAGGGCTGATGCCAGAGATAGGGTGACCCGATGTCCCGATTTTATAGGGACAGTCCCAATTTTGGGGTCTTTTTCTTATATAGGCTCTTATTATCCCCTACCCTCTGACCCGATTTTTCCCATTTGCTGTCTGGTCACCCTAGCCAGAGAGGACAGTGGAGGTAGCTGAGACAGTTGTTCCAGTCCTGTGCATGAGATGCTGATGCTCATTGGTACCTCTAGTGGTGGGTCAGTGCTGATGCACTGCTCTATAGAGCAACACAGGGTCTCACTAAGTGCAACAGCAACAGGAGGCTGAGGTGGCGATGCCATTAGCAGCAGCTGCTGCTGTAGAAGAGAGCCAGCAGCAGGTGACTGCCGAGGAGGTGCCAGGCAGCATGAAGAGAGCCTGAAATGAAGCCCTGAACAGCCCCTGGCTATTCTGAGATCCTGGAAAAGGCGCAAAATGGAAGGCAGACTGGGAATGGGGAAAAACAGGGGCACAGGGGACACAAATGATGAGAGATGTGAAAAGATGAAGGGAGGTGAAAAAAAAAGGGCAGAGAGACAAGGGTGTGTGAGAGAAAAGGGCACAAATAGAGGGCAGAGGAAAGGGGGGAAACAGAAAATGGAAGGAGGGAGCCAAGGCCATCAATGTGAAGAGGGAAGGAGGAAAATAATAAATGGGGGACAGAGACAAGGTAAGAGGGTGAGTCCTCTGGGAGAAAGGGGGAAAACAGAGAGGATGGCGTAGAGCTCCCACCTGTGAGGGAGCAGCCCTGCTTGTGTTTCGTCTCCTAAACCCAGTAAATCTTGGGTGCAGCGCTGGCAACAGCCCACCTCCTACTGAAAAAGCGTGGATAAGGAAGGCATATGGCTCAGAGCGACGTAGATACCCCCAGTACAGCAAGATAACAGGAAGTTTCCTTATGAACAGTGTAGTATTTTAGAGAAAACTGATTTGTTTTCTGAAACCATCTATCTGATTCCAAGTGGAAAAGATGAGTTTGGCCTTCTGACTGGTAAAGATAAGGTTGGGAGGTAGTGTTTGTTAGTAGTTGCAGCAAGTCACCTATTTGCTTCTGTTCACAGATGAATTTTATAGGCTATAGTTCTCACTTGAAAAAGTAAACCAATTCTCTCTGTTTCCAAATGCTCCCCCATATGTCCTTCTGCTCTCCATCAACATTGAATGTTGATAGTAGACATTAGCAACAAAGAATATGTAGATATTTCATGTAGGATACCCTGTGCATGGGATAGCTGTTAGAAATCATTTTAGACACTGGATCATCTTAACCTCCATCTCTTTTTTCATTTAGATTCCAATATGTGAAAGATGGTTAATAATACTAAGGTGGTTTCATGGCATATTAGTACATGAACATTTTGAAGGACAATGTGGAAATGTACATATGTTCTGCTAACAGGAAAATATTAACTGTTCCCGTTAAACAGTGACACTTAGGGGTTTGATTTAATTAATCAATCTAATTTCCATTTGTATAGTGTGTCATGAGGGTAACTCTATGTTCCCAGAAGAGTTTTTTTTTTAAATTACATTTCACGGCTTCCCAACCATCTTATTTTCCATGCTCAAAGGAAAACACTGGCAACTCTTTTTTTCAAATCTGTGCTGATAGACAGTATATGCTTTCCGTAAAATACAAAGGAGAAATGAAAATATCATCAGTTTGAACACTTTTGGGACACATTACTTACTGTGGTGGCACAGTGGATGTCTTTCCACACAGTGGCTTCCCTGGAGAGATCAGAGACTTCAAAAAAGTTATCAAGAATAACTTCCCCAATCATGTCATGTCTAGAAAATCTGTCAAAATCATATACACTGAAATGCAATTTCCTGTTGCTGAGCTGATCATAGGCTACAGGAAACTGAAAGGTTTCATCAAAGACAGGATTTAAAGTCTTTCTGTGAACCCGTGTCTGAAACTTCTTTTTCCTGTCTGGGAGAAGGTAAATCTTAACGTACGGATCTGAGGTTCCTGTAAAGTCTTTAGCAGGTAGATCTAAGGCTTTGACAATGGTAACAACAAGGAGTTCATTTTCATAATCATACCGGAGAGCAAAGTTAAGTTTCCCACAGATTTTCACATCTTCTTGCTTGTCTTCTGAATCAACAGACTTCTGTTTATAGAGTTCTGGTTTTATTCGCCCAATGCTGGTTGTTGTCTCACCCCGTTGTAAAATCGGATCTGTCCCCATGTTAAAATCAACACTGGACACTTGCATCTGCCTTGGCAAGTGCCTCCTGAAAGAATTATGCCTGCACACACAAAAAATTAGCTTGGATTATCTCCATGAAAACGTATGGGTTTTCCCGAATAAAAATATGAACAAAAATTCTAAACAAATCAAAGCTTAGGTTTAAAAACAAAGACATTGCTGTGCAAATCCAGTCTTGAACTAAGAATTACCATTAACACCATACAACATAATTTTACATGAAAATAGAATTTCTTATCCCAAAGGACACCCAGTTTCCTAGCAATACAACACATACCTTGTTTTGAAAAATGTGTACCTGAAACTGCAGTAGAAATTACACGACTCCCCAAACTTCAGTAAGGCTAAAACATCACGGTAAATTAATACCTTCATTTTTATGGTAAGTGCCATGTGATTTTTTTTTTTTTAATAATCAGAATTGGTCAGGACTTCAGTTTTATATCTCATAAAATAGGAACTCTAACACTGATCCCTAGCACCAGGCTAGGGTATTAGTACAGTGTTGTTACACAGGAAAAAGTACTGCCTGCCACTCATCATCAACACTTCTTGTAACTCTTGGGCATTCCTTGGAGGTTTTCCATCTAAGTATTTAACAGGCTCAACACTTCTCAACTTGCGAGATCTGAAAAGACCATAAGGTACTACTAGGCCTGCAGGTAAAAGTATAGCATTTAACCAGTAGAGGTCCTAATCCTGTAAAGATTTATACACATGCTTAAATCTTTTCAGGATTGAGGTTATAGTTGGGTTCCAATTGGTATTTTAGCATTTAACATTGAATTCTAGCTGTTCTATAGTTTAAAGCTTTATTAGACATTTTTATGTTCCATTTTTTCCTGCTTTCCTATTCACCCTACAGTGTGTCAGAAGATGAATTCACTTAATGATACCAGAAGAAATTATTTTTAATTCCTCCTAATTTGGATTGCAGTATAGTACATTCATGATACTTAAGGCCTTATGCTGTCTACAATAACAGTGGGAATTTTGCCATTGCCTTCAAAAAGAGTAGGATCTGGCCTATTGTGTTTTACAGTAGTATAAAATGTAGGATAATATACTTACTATATTTAATCTGGTGAAGACTTTGTGTAACCTAAATGTCCATTCAATTTTTCTGCCATTATAAAATTTCGCTGGTATATTACCACCCTTGTAAGCTGTGCTGTAACAAACTCAGATTGCTCCTATGACTACACTTATACTTAGCTGCCATTAAAAACCAATTTAATTGTCAGAATTTCCTCTCTTTTGCACAATCTATTCCTTATTAATGCCAGATGTAAATGTGCATCATTGCTCAGTTCCCCCACAGTTCAGCATGCTGAATCCAAGAGGAGTCACAGCTGTATGTTTATTTCTTTAAACCAGGAAGACAAATTCTCCATTTGAAAATGATTGTGAGTAATTCATGGAAAATATTCTTATTTATGCTGTATGGGAGAGGCTGCACAATGAACAAAACTGCTGTGGATCCTCTGAGTGCTGCACCAAGGGGGCAATCTGCAGCCATTAAATAATAAACAAGAACATTTTCCATTCTGGATGCCTTAGGGGCGTTGAGTGCAGGGAACAGTCCTCTCAACACAGCCATAATTTGGATTTGAACTGGTTAGAAGAAATCTAAGTATTTCAAACCTGAAAGTTAGATGAATAAAACACATTTCTGATCACACACATTTCTGCATCAGAGAGAAACTCTCAAACTGAACTCTAATCAAATAAAAAAAATAAGTTAAATATAGGTTCAGGTGCCACAAATGTCCTCGACTCTGCCTGCAAATTTGGAGGGATTTATAATCACAGATTTAAAAAAAAAAAAAAAAAAAAAAATGTTTTTCTCCTCCATGTTGTATGAAAAAAATCTACACAAACAGGAGAATCTGACTATGCAGTGGAAACTGTGAAACAAACTGCTGTCAGAGGAACAAAGTAAGCAAACTGGAAACATACAAAAAAGGTTCTTTGATCTCTTGCATTTATAATAATCTGAGATCATTTGTAAAAATAGTAGGTAACATTTTTCAAACAAATGTAATTTCTAAGTTGCAAGAGTCCTTTCAAAATTAAAAACGTTTACACACACACACACGCACCGTAATATCCTCCAATGAAACTAGTCACTATTTGTAAGTGTCACTTGATAAAACTGTACAGCTGTAGGATTGCTCTCTGTGGGAACCAAGGCTCAGTAGCACTTTTACTCTACTAAGCCAATGCCCTAATTACACAGTACCTAGTGAATGTTCTGAGTCACAACTTTTCAACAAGACAGCTAATTACTCTTTTAATTATTAAGGTGCTTCACTGTTGTCATGGCAACATAGTTATGTTCCTTTTTTCTGCAATAACAAAGGGATTAATGACTGTTATACTGAAGTGCAAGGATCTCAGCCAATCACATTGTGGAGATGCCATATAGTTACAGACTCACACCTCTACCAGGGCTTTCAGTAACAAGAGAGTGCAGGTCCATGCACTCTGATTCACTACTGCCCCTAAAAGCATCATCATAAATAATAATATCTAGCTCTTATATAAGATTTTTCATCAGTAGATTTGAAAGTTCTTAAGACTGGCCTCCACATCCCCCAAGCAAGCATGCTTTCCTCAAATCAGATGAGAAAAACTTTGTGTCATAAATGTTTACTCCCTAGATATTCTCCAGTAATGATAATAATAGTAATTATATAACAATGAGTAACATGACAGTGCTTTCTGTTAACTGAGTGAGAACCACACCCAAAGAAATAAGATCAGACGGATGATACTATGATTAAGGCACTGGACTGGAAGTCAGGATATATGAGTTCAATTATTAGCTCTTTCACAGACTCCCTGTGTGACCTTGTGCAAATCACTTAGTCAGCTGTTAAGAAAAACATATAAGTACATGCTTAACTTTAAACATGCTTAAATTAATCCCTAGAATGGAACATAAGCACATGCTTAAGTACTTTGCTGAGTATGTATGGACCTAAGGATGTGCTTAAGTACTTTGCTTTAAGACAAAGGTGGGCAAACTATGGCCCGCGGGACCCTCCTGCCCGGCCCCTGAGCTCCTGCCCCGGGAGGCTAGCCCCCGGCCCCTCCCCTGCTGTTCCCCCTCCCCTGCAGCCTCAGCTCGCTCTACCGCCGGTGCAATGCTCTGGGCAGCAGGGCTGAGAGCTCTTTCCGGACAGTGCAGCTGCAGAGCCGCGGCCTGACCCGGTGCTCTGTGCTGTGCGGTGGTGTGGCTGGCTCCAGTCGGGCGTCGCGGCTGCCTGTCCTGGTGCTCTGGGTGGTGTGGCTGTTGTGCCACCAGCCACCGGTGCTCCAGGCAGCGTGGTAAGGGGGCAGGGAGCAGGGGGAGTTGGATACAGGGCAGGGGAGTTCGGGGTGGTGGTCAGGGGGCAGGGGTCTGGATAAGAGTCAGGGTGGACAGAGGGCGGGGAACAGGGGGGTTGAATGGGGGCAGGGATTCCCAGGGGGCAGTCAGGAAAGAGAGAGGGGGTTGGATGGTGCAGCGGGGGGGGGGGGGG